GCTGTCCACTCAAGTGGTGGAAATTGAATGCTAGGCTGTAGCCACTGCTCTCCTGTGTAGCAAAAGCATCTGTGGTGTTCTCATAACATCAGTTACTCTCAGAAATGTATGTTATCCCGGTTCCCTAATGCTCAGTTCACACTGCACGATTTTCATAGTCGTCGGATCGCCATTGTTTTCACACTGCATGACTACCTGGGGTAGCATTCAGTTGCTGCTGTGTTCATATTGCACGATGGATCGGCGACAGGAGGTTACACACTGCATGACTTTACAATAGGAAGAATCGCCGACAACTCTGTCTGGTCCGCAAACTACGTTTTACAACCAAACGCACGCGAGAAGTGATAAGGAAATGACGCAAGATCACGTGTGAGATCAGAGTTTTTGCGTGAGACTGGAAATGTTATTAAAATGGTAGTCGGCAAGAAGTTCGAGATACAAATGGTCTGTGCACTGATTTGCAGTGAAAGGCCAATAAAGAAAAAATGTCCGAAAAAGAAAAAAAAGATTATGGATGAGGAAATGGTTGGAGCAAGGACTGCTGATATTGTGATCTATAACTCCTCCCCGAACTTCCCGCTGCCCTGGATCTTGCTCTCTCATTGGCTGTAGGTCATCGCCGATGTATTTTTCAGTCAAAACTCATTTCACACAATAGGATTTTGAATCGCAGACAGGTCCAGATATTTAGCATGCCAAATATTTAATGGGCGTCAGCGTTTCTCTCAGATCAAGTCTTTGATAATTCACACTGCGTGATTGTCACCCGCGTGAACGAGTACCGATTTGCCTCAGATTTCGGGCATTTGTCGGCGAGTGAAAATCAGGGCCAAAAATCGTGCAGTGTGAACTCGGCACAAGTAGAACAAGAAACAAGGGGAACAAGACACTGCAAAGCTTTATCATACTCATTTGTTACTGCCATGATTCTATGGTAGAAAAAACTGAGAAGTGAGGACACAATTTGTGCCATAATCCAATGAATTGGCATGATTCTATACAGGTGGCAGACAAGCATCACGCCTGGAGGTTCTTCACAGTAATGCTTTAAAAGTCTACATTTTTGATGTCTGTTAACCTGTTAACTTGTATTTGTCTTTTTTCCCTTTGCTTTAGACCTGATGCCACTGAAAGGGGAGAATCAAGAACTGAATGAAAATGAAGAGAAAGACCAGTGTGAGAAACATTTTGATTTAATAACTGTAGAAAAATCTTTAAGTTACTCAAAGACTGAAAGGACTTCTTCACAAAAAAGAAATCAACCAACAGGAACAATGAGTTATTTTATCTGCAGTCAGTGTGGAAAGAGTTTCAGTTACCTTGGAAACCTTAAAGTCCACCAGAGAATTCACACTGGAGAGAAGCCGTACACATGCCATCAGTGTGGAAAGAGTTTCACTCAAATAGAAACCCTTAAAGTCCACATGAGGATTCACACCGGAGGGAGCTCTTTCACCTGCCAACAGTGTGGAAAGAGTTTCACCCAAAAAGGAAGCCTTAAAGTCCACATGAGAATTCACACCGGAGAGAGTCCTTACATCTGTAATCAGTGTGGGAAAAGTTTCAATCGAAAAGAGTCCCTTACAACTCACATGAGAATTCATACTGGCGAGAAGCCTTACACGTGTCCTCAATGTGAAAAAAGTTTTACACATAAAGTAACACTTAATGCTCATATGAAAACTCACACTGGAGAGAAGCCATTCGCATGTGGTCAATGTGGGAATAGTTTCAGATGTAACGAAACCTTAATAAGCACATGAGGATTCACTCAAGAGAAATCCATTTTATATGTCATCAGTGCGGTAAACATTTCATAGACGAAAATCGCCTTAGGAATCACGTAGTGAGTCACACTGGAGAGAAGCCTTGTATGTGCCATCACTGTGGAAGGTCTTGTACAAACAAGTCAAACCTTGTGGTTCACATAAGAATTCACACTGGAGAGAAGCCTTTCATATGTATTCACTGTGAAAAGAGTTTCACAAATCAAGGAGTCTTGAATCGTCATTTGCAAACTCATTCTGAAAAGAAATTGCAGTGTTCCTCAGTGTCACAGTGTTAACAAAATATCAAAAATCACTTGTGTGTTCATTTTGAAAGAAAACTCAAAGTAGAATGTGGTAAGAAGATTATCTTAACATTTGCAGATACACCTGAGAAGTCATGTAGATGTGAGACCCTCTTTGTAGGTCGACAGTCTTTAATGGCATCAGAAATATGCATCTGTGGTAAATTCATTTTGTGTGTATCCGAGGTGTCCCTCAGAATTGAATTGTTATATAAATTGTAAATTATTATATAAATCTTGCTGTGAAATGAATGAAAAATGATGAATAAAATGACAAATTCAATGGTTTGATTTATTTATTTGATGGATTTTTAGTGAGAGAATGCACAGGTAAACATATGTTGTCAGTCTGGACTTGAATATAGCCACTGTTGGGGGTCATCTGGAAGCTAGTTCCAGCTGTGGGTTGCATAATAGCTAACCACTGTTTCAGTCTCTGTTTTAAATATAAAAACATATTTGCATTTTTTGCACTAATTAGTTTGTCCACAAGGTTGCAACACTGGCTCAGGCCATTGTTTTGCAGTCAAAAAAAGAAACAGTGGAGACAAGGAACAACAATAACAAATAGATGCTTGCAATGACAAGTGTTTGTGTGTAAGGGGGTTCATAGATACCCGCAACAAGTTTAAAAGAGTATAAAGACATTTATTTAGTTTGGAACCAGACCATTTGAGCGACTTGATCTTAAACTGATGACAAACAGCTCATATCTGTCTCTGAAAGTTACTGAAGTCACACGTGATAACCCGCAACATGCTAGATGTGTTTTTTCTTTCTTTCTATGGTTTCAACAGAAATATGATTCTCAAAAGCATAGTCTAAATCGGTTTTGCTGCATCATCTTGGCTTAGCCAGCATATGGTCTAATCCCCCTGGCCCAGCCTGCTGAGGAGGAATCTGCTCAGGTAAGCTGGGGGCTGAATCTTGCATCGCAATTGAGAACTGTGAAACCTGCATATCTGAGCTGTGCTTCTCAAAAGCATCATGAGCTAAGTTGTTGGTAGAGATAATTGGTGGCAATGGTTCTATGATCTACTTAGGCTTATGATGCTTTTGAGAAATGCAGCCGTGGCCACTCAGTGGAGCCCATCAGCGTCGGTTACGGTACCATAACTGGCATTAAACATGATTATTAAAGTGAGAGCTCCATCTTCTACAGTAGGTACTTCTACGCTTATAAGTGAAAAGTACCACCAGCTCTTTAAGAACTGGTGCTGCTTAAAGCAGAAGAACCCAGTCATTTGCTGGAAACCAGTTATTCCATCAAAAGTCTCCACTTGGGGAAATTGATTTGGTTTTGAAAGCTTTGGAAAGTCCCCACATCGAGCCACTTCGGTGGGCATCTTTAAGAACATCCTCTCTCAAAACAGTGCTTTTGCTTGTCTCTGTTAGGAGAATAAGAAATATACATGTCCCCTTAGTTAATGAATCATGGATGGAATTCGAGCTGAATGACTGTAGAGCAGTGGTTCCCAACGCTGGTCCTGGAGGCACCCCAACACTGCACATTTTGCAAGTCTCCTTTCTCTGACACCAATTTCAGGTCTCGGAGTCTCTACTAATGAGCTGATGACCTGAATCAGGTGTGTTTGATTAAGGAGACATGCAAAACATGCATGGTTTGGGAACCACTGCTGTAGAGTCATACTCCAGCCCTACATGTCTATATTGACCACACTATGCAGTTTAGCAGGGCTGTCCAAACTCGGTCCTGGAGGGCCGGTGTCCTGCAGAGGTTAGCTCCAACTTGCCTCAACACACCTGACTGGAAGTTTCTATGCCTAGTAAGAGCTTGATTAGCTGACTCAGGTGTGTTTAATTAGGGTTGGAGCTAAACTCTGCAGGACACTGGCCCTCCAGGACCGAGTTTGGACAGCCCTGCAGTTTAGGCTCTTTGAGCAGCTGTTTGTGTGCTTTGGTGGATGCACTAAAGTTGGGGTGCCCAATCATGTTCTTGGAGCTCTATCTACCTGCAGACTTCAGTTCTAGCCCTGATCAAACACAGCTGTCTGTAATTATCCATTGCTCCTGAAGATCTTAATTAGCTTGTTCAGGTGTGTTTGATCAGAGTTGGAGATGAACCTTGAAGGAAGGTAGATCTCTAGGAACAAGATTGAGCACCACTGCACTAAAGCAAAGGTCTTCAACCCTGCTCCTGGGAACCCACCATCCTTCAAAGTTAATTTCCAACCTGATTCAGCACATTTGCCAGTGTATTTTCAAGTGATCCTGAAACGTTTAATTAGCTGGTTCAGGTGTGTTTGATTAGGGTTGGAGCTGAACTCTGCAGGATGGTGGGTCCCCAGGAGCAGGGTTGATGACCACTGCCACTAAAGGGTTTCCAGTGTCAAAGCAGAGGCTATCCCATTGGATTTTTGAATGCAATAACTTTGGCTTACAATTCACAGAATGTGGATTGCCCCATTTGTGCCAGAGCACACTCCACACGGATTATAGCTTCTAGTGATGCAAAGTCCGATTCATTTCCGCAAACCGGTTCTTTTCGGACAGATCGGCTCATTGAACTGGTTCAAAAGGCAGATTCATCGGTTCCTGACGTCATCAAGCAATAACGTCTATGCATTTCTTTTCTAACAACTCAGTGCCATGTTGTATCAATGAAAAATTCAAATAAGTCATTTGTGTCAACAAATATTGAAACATTCAAAAAAATATAGTTATTTGTGTGAAAGCATATTGCTGATTATTGCCATATAATTCACTTAAGTATATACGACTGACTGACCAATATTGACTAGCCTACAACTTGGATAAGATTCCTAAAAGTTTCACACCTACAGCACACATTACAAACATTGATGCACAAACGCGGATATGTTCTACATGTCTACAGTATAAAGAATGAATAAACTCTTATAAATTTTGTCTTATAAACTCCTTGATTTCGCTTAAGCAACTTTAAATATAATATGCATGCACAATAAACTATTGTAAAATTTATTTAAATCACTTGACAAAGGTTTTTGCAGGTTTTAATAAAATGTAAATTAATAACAGTCATAACAAGCCTATTTCCAGTACACGCCTCAGGCTTGCACAGTATTGTCAACTCACTCATCAGAATCTTCGGTAATCCTCAGCAAACTTCGCCACGGCTCATTCGGTTCTTGTTGTGTCCTCGGTAATCCTCGGAAAACTTCGACTGTTGGTTGAACCGGCTCATTTGGTTCTTTTTGAGTTGGACGTGCTACTTCGGCTGTGCGTCCTGCATCATCAATCTGGAACTAAAGTTCGATTCACTTCGATTTGTGAACCGGCTCGACCAGTTACTTCCTGAGAACCGGCTCAAAAGAACGATTCGTTCAAGAATCGAACATCACTAAGAGCTTCTTCGTGGGCAAGTGGAATATCTATTGAAGAAATATGCTCAACTGTACAATGGTCTTCTCTGAACACTTTTGCCTGGTTTTATAATCTGGATGTTCCAAAGCTAACATCTCAAATCCAGCCAGCAAAGGAGAGATAGTCTTGCGCTAAGCCCAAAGCTATTGCTTGTTATTTATGCTGTGCTTCTGTGAACTTCTTACCAACATTGTCATTATGAATACTATGTTATGTTTGTGTACACCTGGGCTGAGCAACTTTGGCCCTATAGGGCCACTGTCCTGCAGAGTTTAGCTCCAGCCCTAATCAAACACACCTGCCTGTAGCTTTCTAGTGATCTTGAAGACATTCGCTGGGTTCGAAACCGGATAAAAACACGGTTCCTTATGTTAAAATCGCATTTTACATTCAACTGCTCTTTTCCTGCCTGCTCATACCTTATCCTTTTTCTTTTTTTTTTTTTTTTTTGTTGTG